ATCGACACAGATGACATCAACACCAGCTCTTCCATCTCCTCCTACGCCAACACCCCCGCCGCACAGCGCAAGGGCCTCAGCACACAGGTAAGACTACACACACACACACATAAATTTTTAAGAATAATAAAAAAAATTGTTTTATAATTGTGCCATAGCTTGGGATAGCCAGTTTCATTTTGGATCTGGTTTCAAGTTTGTTAAGTAAGGTCAGAGTAAAGTAACTCTTTCTATCCCCTCTCCATTTTTTATTACAAAAGCATGATTTATTTTACAAAAAAATTACAAAAACACCAAATATGTAATATACCTGGCAAAACGTTTTAGATCTTAAAAGCTATTGAAACCTGTCACAATGCAAAATTATTGTGTACTCACATAACCATGTCAAAAATAAGACCACATGAGTTCCATGTAAGGGCAGTTATCCAGGACAACAGTTAGGGCTGCGGGTTCATTTAAATAAAAAATCTACAAATGTAGAGAAAAAAATGTAAACTACATGCATAAAGTGTATGTATAAACTGATGCAACTGTATTCTTCCACTTGGCCTCATTTCCCTAAACCCAGTCTCTCCCAGCATTCCTCTGCAGTCAGAGAAGAATGTGGGACTATGTCTGAATGGCACAGCTGTGAACTAACAAAGCTAAAGCTGATGTTGACACTGGCCTCAAACCATTAAACACTGATTAAGAGCCACTACGGTCCAGGAAAGTGATCGGTGAGACGATAATATTGTCAGCTGACTCACGTGTATGTCACACACACGGCATTGTGGCCGATGTGGAGCCAGTCACCATGTGATGTGTGTCTGTTACTGCTGCAGAGGTCGAGGTGCTGGAGAAAAAACAAAGGAGGGCACAAAGGAGCTTTTCTCTGAGTACAGCAGCCTGACACAGTGCAGGTTGATTAAGTCTGCCTCATCTGTCCTCTGGTGATAACACACATCGGCTGGACTGTGTTTGGGGTTTTATTTTAGTTCTGTGAACAGAGTAGCTGCAGAATCAACTTAAAAGCAGCCATCATCCCTCAAATAGCTGTAATTTACTGTTGGAAAAATGAAGGTTATGGTGAACTTGCTAAGTCATACTTTAATTTAAAACAATAAAAACTTGCACAAACCAGCAGTAACTTGCCTTCAGTATGTTTTAGGTTATAAAAGAAAGACCAGTGGAGTTGTAAAGCTCAGAGTGATCAGCAACAGCAACTATTTCCACACTTTTTATTGTAAACAAGAGTCTTCGCAGGAGACTTCTCTGCCGTGTGCGGGGAGACCTACATGAGATTTGCCTGCCTCAAGACTTCAATGAAAAAATATTCACGTCTCCATTTTTAACTAAATAAAATTAAAGTCCTATTCTCTTGAAAGGATGTCAGACTTGAGACTTGACGTTAAGTTAACAAACATGAGCTGCCCAGCAAAGCAAACATCATCAAACATGCTTCTCTCACATGTCAAGAGTGTGATGTGGTGATCTGGTTTCTCTTTGGTCAAACAGCTTCCCTACAAACTGCTCAGGTAATGCTAGCAGGATTGCACAGCATGATGGCTGTGGTCATAAAACTGGAGTGCTTTTTAGAGGCACTTAAAAGACTCTTACTTCAGCAGTAATAAATCTAACATACTGGGTGTGTGTTCCCAGCCTGTGACAGATGCAGAGAAGCACTCGGCCTCCACAGCGGTGCATCAGGCCTGGTCAGGAGACGAGGTGAAGAGGCCAGACGGCGGGTCAGACAGCGGGGTCAGGATGGAGCCAGGCTCAAAGTGGAGCCGCCGGAACCCCTCCGACATCTCTGACGAGTCCGACAAGGGCGGCTCGGGCAGGAAGACCCCCTCCGTGTCGCACACGGGCTCTTGGAGGAGAGGCATGAGCGCTCAGGTGGGGGTGACGTCCCCCCGGACTAAAAGCACCAGTAGCACGAGCTCCACGGGCTCCGCTGGCCTCAAGACCCACAGTTCAGGTAACACAGACATCCACAGCCAATAATAGGAAAACTAAATAAATAATACATTTATCATAAATGTATTTGCATGATCTTAGGTCCCTGGCAGAAATTTCCACTTAGTTTATGGATAATCATATTTGAAGTCTGAATGCAAAATGAATTGCCTGTCAGTTTTTGGCAATATTGCAATTATTATTCAATAAAGTGAACTCATGAGTTAATAATGTTAAGTTAAATAATGAAGGGAGTATAGAGCATCCAGAGTCAGGAACCATTAAACGATGTTTCTCTGATTATGACATTGCTGTTTAATGTTTGTTTGCTGTGTGATAAGTCTCAAGTGAATAGTGTGCTTGCATTTAAAGATGTAGTTCACAATTGATCAATTAGTGGACATGGTGCCACAATTTGAATTCTTGTCAAAAAAAAAAGTCAGAAAAGGGTCCAAAAGTGATGCAACCTCTTCACCTTAAGTCCATCTGAGTGTGAAATCATGTGGCACCCACAGATCCCGCTGATGTCTCTCTCTCTCTGTGTCTTGCAGGTAAGACGGATGACGTCAAGGTGTCAGAAAAAGGTCGTCTCTCTCCTCGTGCTAATGGCCTTCACCGCTCGCCCTCAGACGCAGGACGCAGCAGCGGCGATGAGGCAAAGAAACACTCGATCCCCACCAGCCGCACGGGGACCACAAACGCCCTCACACACACTGTTTCAGACCCCCACTCCCAGACACATACACTCACCTCGCGTACCCCTACCAGCACCTTTGGCTTTAAGAAGCAGGGTCCTGGGATGGTAACCATGGTTACTGCTAGTGGCGCCACCATCACGAGTGGCTCAGCCACCCTGGGGAAGATGCCCAAATCTGGGGCACGCTCACTAGCAGGAGGGCTGAAGGCCGGTGGTCACGATGGCGGATCAGCGCTGGGTCACCACGATGACGGCTTCCTCCCCATGAGCGCCCGCTCCACACTGCAGTACCGCAGCTTGCCGAGACCCAGCCGCTCCGGAGCAGCCGCACGCAACGGAAACCGCTCCTCCACCAGCAGCATCGAGGCCGCCGTGCTCTCGGTCACATCTCATGGCAAAAACTCAATCAACATCACCAAGGCCAACGGCTCAGGAGGCCTGATGGCCAATCAGACGGATCGGGAGAAGGGCGTCTCTGAGATTGACAACCTCAGGAGTGGAGTGGTGATGCAGGGTGGAGGAGCAGCGACTGTTCCTCTGACAGGAAGACAGCAGGTTTCCTCACCCACACTGCGCAGGTGAGCACACACACGCACACTTGTTTTGTCCTGCAGACAGAGTGACGGCTAACTGATGAGCCATACTGACTTGGCCCATCTTGTATGGGCTTGAATTTACCCACATTCAGCACACACACTTAGATACACACAGAAGACCATTTTAGAAGACAGTAATCATGTAGTCACAGTAAATGATAAACAGTGGTGAGTAAGGATCACACGTGTGGGCTTGTTTCTCTCACACAAACACAAGCTCAGTGAAGTTAAATCAGGCCATTGTGAAGGCAGACCTTGAGCTGGGCTGATCAGCTGCCAAGCCTCAGCCTTGGCGGTGCAGGGGGGGAGGGTGGAGGGGGAGGGTGTGGTGCGGGGTAATGGGAGCTGAGACTTACCTCAGCGCTCTGCCCTCATTAATGTGAGGGAGTGATAACTCTTCAAAGAGGCAGTGTGCTGCCATTATCGCCCACCGCGGCTCCAGTCATCACAGCCTGCCATTTAACTCTAACCCAGGATTAACAGAGAACCAGGAGAGAGTTCTGTGTGTGTCTGTGTGCGCGTGTGTGTGTGTGTCTGAGTCTCTGAATATCTGAGCACTGACTCTACCTTTCCTGGCGGCAGGCCTTGTGCTGATTTTCTTGTTTCATACTGAGTAAAGAATCATACTGGTGTTTTTGTCCTGTTAGCGATGGGCCCTTAAGGACGGCAAACTGTGTCTGCTTTCAACACTTTGATCCAGAACACCCATGAATATATACAGTGCTCCTTTATGTAATTTATGATGTGATTTGTCAAAATGACAGAAATGATAGGAATGAGCAATTTATATGAATGAAAAGGATATTAGGAAATGTCATCCTTTGCTTTATTCCTGCTCTTTTGTGAGTACTTTAGTTCTCAGCCTTCCTCCCCTTCCTGATTTTCCACAGGTTGTTTGGTGGGAAGCCAAGTAAGCAGGCTCCCGTCACCACGGCTGAAAACATGAAGAACTCCACTGTTATCTCCAACCCCCACGCCACCATGAACCATGTGGCCACAGTGCTGGAGTCGCCTGATGGAGGGCTGGGAGGCGTAGAAAGCGAGACCAGCAGTCTCCTGTTTGGAGGCAGAGTGCACGGATCGGGGATGGGGACCCTGGGCAGCGAGCAGGTGAGCAAGAACATGTGAAAATAAAGGAGACAATGGATCTGTCAAGTTAATCCATAAATCAACAGATATAAATATAACTATGTAACAAATGACAATGTGAAGACTCATAGTGATGAACCCTTCAGAGAATTGGTGCCGAAACCTGAAGCTCCCCTCGGCTTTATGGAGATTTCTAGTGAGTTTCAGCTCATTGTTCATCCCTCTGCATCTTTATTGTTCTGGTTCACTTTTGCTAAGCTCTGTTTTTGGCTTCAGTAACTCTGAAAGCCCACTGTGCACTACCTGCTCAGCTCACTAGCTGGTGAACATAGTGGAACAAAGAGTTGGGTATTTCCCCTTCGGAGTTGGTAGAGACCAAAAAGCTTTAAGAGAGAGAATATTAGACTTATACTCATCAGTTGGCCTAAAACACAAATGAATGATAAAGGTGTTCCATAATTGGATATGTACCCTGACTAAACACTTGTACAATAAAATCAGATTTCTTGAGAAATCTAAGAGAAATGAGAATGTGCCTTTGAGTTTAGAGATGATTACGTGTGTGTGTGTGTGTGTGTGTGTGTGTAAGCTGTAAAGGTGTTTGTAAGCTTGTGACAAGGTTTTGGCGAGGACACAATAATGATTTTGTTCTGACCTGACTAATGCAGTGGAAGTGCAGATGAGCAGTGTGTGTGTATTTGTTGGACTAACTGTGGGCTATATATTGTAGCACAGGAGAGACATATGAGCAAGCTCAGTCATGAACTCTTTTTTTTTCCTGACATGATTCATACGAAATTTATCAGACTAGTTCTTAATCATAAAGTGACACATGGGGTATTGTTTTTAAGCAGTTGTCTTTACAAACAGTAAGGAAAGGTTCAAAAGCATAAATAAGCCATTAATCATAAAACATATACAGAAAACCGTCAAATAAAAGTGAAAAATACATCAGGACTGCATTATTCATTCATCTATTTATGTTTTCTTCATTAACCACATAATCTTCAGAGGTCAGAAAACAATGAAAAATCTAATCACTTTCCCAGAGCCCAAGGTGAAGTTTTTAAATAGTTTTCTTAAAGATATTAAATTCATAATTATACGAAAAGCGCCAGAGTCTCGCATTTAAGACGCTTTTGGCATTTTTGTCTGGTAAATTATTGAAGCTATTCATTGACTAATTGTTTCAGCACTGGAATAGACAGACTCCCACTGGGTTTGAAAACAATAACATCCTCTCCACCCCTCCACAGGCCTCCAGTCCCGGCTCCGTCTACTCCTCCACCGGCCCCTCCAACAGCTTGACATGGGGCACCACCTTCAGCAGCTCCTCCGCCCAGAGCCGAGAGAGCACGCTGGGTGGGCACGGAGGGACAGGCAGCGTGGGATTCCCCTCTGTCAGCAGCATGCACACCAGCAGCGAGTCCATTGACATGAGCCTGGGCAGCGGGGGCCATGGGACCCACAGGGAGGACACTCTGTCTGCTCTGGGCCGCGCTGGCAGTGTCAAGACTGGCATGTCTGAGAGGTGAGGATCCACAAAAGTGGGACATTTTGTGGTGTCCATATTTTTCAAAAACTTTGTTTCCTTTTCCAAAAAAATCCCCAAATTTCAAAAGAAATCTGTCCAATGTAGCATCTTGTTTTCATCAGTGTGTTAAATGAGGTTGTTTCCAGGATCTTTACATACAATTTGTTAAGTAGTGTGACTAATGAATTATTATGTGACTTTATAAAAGTTGCATGATCTAATTAACAGTCTACACTTATCTACACTCTAAAGGACTATAAACAGTCCTAGTGCTTTAAAAGGGGTTTTCCTGAGTACTTTTACTTTTCATACTTAAGTACATTTTGCTGCTAAAACTTAGTAAAGTAACATTTTGAATGCAGTTACTTGGTGTAAAGGATATTGACACTTTCACTGAGTACGTTCTAGATACTTTTTTCATCGCTGACAATGTTAAAATCCTTCCCAGTATTGACGTTAATTCCTTTTAAAGGATCCAGAATCGAGGTGATGCACAAAGCATCCGTCGTGGCAAGGTGTCGCTTCTTGTTTGCCGTTCTGTCTGTGCTCTAGCAGAGAAACACGATCCCATGGCGTCCTCAGTCGATTATACAGTAATTGTGGTCATTGTAGCAGATTCCTCGCTGACAGGTTGACTGTGTAATGTGACAGGAATGTCTCAGAGGAAACTTAATAGCAGCTGGAGTCGAAGCGTTGAGGCCATGACATCACCCTCCTCACTGTGTTTTCTTATTAACTTCATTGGTGAAGAATCTCGCAGTTGACTTCTATTCTGAAGGATTTCCTCATCTACTTTTTATCCTCTAAAACTTCTTCTTTCTCTGTGTCTGTTGTGCGTTTTCCTTCCTGTCCTCCATCAGTCCCCTCTCCTCCCCCTCCGCTAGCCCTATATTCAGCCGAAACACGCTACCTCGGAAGCAGGACAGGTAAATGCACCTGTGTGCGGTGTTAGGCTTCTGGTGAAACAGCTGTGGAGGCTCCTACTAAACCACCACCTGCTGCCACACAGAGAACATCACAGAGACCCACAGAGAGAAGCTCTGTGTGGTAGCTTGTTGGATTTTATGGTTTTTGTGTGGAAGTGTGTCACTCTGTGTGGTAGTTTGTGGTTATTTTTAGGACCTCGAGCTCCTGTATGAGTGGAAGTTTATTTTTGAGAGACTGCTAATGTGAGGTCGTCTGTGTGGATGTTGGCAGCTTCAGTGTTTTTGTTTAGTGGTCCCCTCTAGCCTGTTATGACTGTTTACATACTGCCACCTTGTGGTAGAGTTTATGTGTGCAGATTTGCCCATAGGATGTTTATTATTGATTTTACACTGCAAAACTCTCAGTCTTAAGGAATGTGTTCCTATTTTCGAGCCCTAAAGTCTTATTTACAGCAAAATAAAGGCGAATAATGGAAATAATCAGCCACTACAATGAGACAAATGAAACTGCTCCAAGAATTTTACTTAAATTCAAATGTAATTTTTATTTATTCCAGGCTTCCATTAGCCTGCTTTCTTTTAAGGAAATTAATTTTAGGGTTTTAGGACTGAGCAAAAGTCCAAAATGACTTGGCAAGATGGAGATTTTGCAGTGTATAAATGAGGATGTACTAGTATTGATAAACAACATACAGTATCTTTGCAAGTTAAACATATATTAGTCTTTGAGAGATGCAGCCATATGTTTCCTTGCCTCCTTGCTTCCTTTGCTTTCCTCCTCTGAAGTGTTTCTCTCCCACAGCGGGCCACACTGTGGTAGAAACACTCTGCCTAAGAAGGGACTCAGGTACTGACTTCACTTCCTGCTGGACATGTTGCGTTTTTTTGCACAATCGTTTACCAAATTGTCTTCTGTCTTTCTTTTATTTCTGCGTCTACATTCACTCTTCGAGGCTTGCGCTCACGCTTTTAAAAAATGCTTTGGAAGCTTTTTGTTTGGCACTTGGCACATGTGTTGTGTTGTGCTTCTGTGAAGAGGCATGCCACTTTGTCGTCGTTCAGAGCTGTCACTGTATTACGCTGTCGCAGGCTTGATTTTCAGGGTCAGATTTTCTTTGGCTTCTTTTCTCCTTTTTTTCACCAGTTTCTGTTGCTCACAGCTGAGAATCAGTCTATGTTCATTCCGTTGTAATTCTTTTTTTAGTGTCTAATTCATCTGATTTTAGATCCCGGCTACTAATCTGGCTGCTTAAGAGAAAAAAAATCCACCTTACTGAATCTGAAAAAAAAAAAAAAAAAATCTGAATCCAGATCAACTTGTCCTGTAAAAACACAGAATCCACACGGTTCTGTTTTGTGTCCTCACTTTGACTTTAACCCTTTATTTGACTTTCTGTAGGTATGGTCCATCCCCACAGCTGCGAGGCCATGAGGAGGCCCGTGATTGGCTGCGCTCCCACTCCACTAGCGGGCTGCAGGACTCGGCCAGTAACTCCCCGTTCTCCCCCGGCTCCAGCATCACCTCCCCCTCCGGCACCCGCTTCAACTTCGGACAGCTCGGTACGCCCCACACACCAAAACCCAACTCTCCATGTGTATTTACTTTATCATAATTAATCATTAAGCAATCAATTTGCTCTTTGATGACTGAGACAAACTCAAGCCTGTGAAATAATATTAGAACTCATCAAGATAAACACAAGGTTGTTCTTTTTAGTTAAAAAAAAGTTACAGATAGGAGGTTTTCCCTGTTTTATATAATTCTACACTGAATATGGCCATATGTCATAGAATTAAACTAAAACTATAAATCCAAAAAATATATCAAAAATGAGAATAAAAAAATCTTTACTTGACTAATATCATTTCATATATCATTTTCACAGCATCAAGTCCGACCTCAGCAGCTCAAATCAACCTCGCCAGTATGCGTAACAACAGCCTGACCAATCAGGAGGTCTCCTTTGACCCTTGCGGCGACAACCGTCTGAGGAACTCGTGCATGTCACTCGACGAGAAGACTCGCACCATGAGTAGATCGGGCTCCTTCAGGGACGGCTTCGAGGAAGGTAAGCTGAGACAAGAGGAGGATGTATTGAATATTCAGTGACTCTGTGTGAGTCCTGGCCATGTTTTCTTCAGATGTTTGGTGAAATCTGTAATTAGGTGTGATCCGTTTCCAAGACCTGCATGCCTCCATCCCTCTATGACGCCCCCCTTTCCTTATTCCACATCCCTGTGCCAAAAGAATTATTATTCCATTTGTTTAAAGAACATTAGGACGGATTACAACCGCTCCTCTAAGAAAAGCCCTCCATCCCTTTAGAAATCCATAATCAGCTTTGATGCGGCTTTGTTTTTTCATAAGCTTGTTTATTGGGAAAAGTACCCAGCCGTGCTTTTCCCACCAGCAGACAGACTCCCCGCTCCACTGGATTCTGCTCAATCCTCAGGGCCATAGAAACACAGTGCTTTGATTTAGAGGAACAAACTAAGGCTGGGAGTGAGTTAGGCATAGTGTTGTGTTGAAAATTATTCTCTTAAAAGAAAAATCCATTCTTAAAGGTCCAGTATGTAACATTTAGGAGGACCTATTGGCAGAAATGGAGTATAATATGCATAACTGTGTTTTTATTAGTGTATCATCACCTGAAAACAGGAATTGTTTTATAACTACAGACACCGCGGGTCAAACTAAACACTTGATGCAGCTCAATCCTTCACACTGATCCTTTGAACTCTAGAGTAATGCAGCAGGTAGCAGTGAACTTGCCTTTCAGTAAACTGCAATATAAACAATAAACCACAATGTATTCTGGGAATTGTAGTTAATCAGTAACAGTGTAAAGATATGAAAAGGCAGATTTTGTGCCGCAGAGTGAATAAATGCAGAGGAAAGGGCAACATGAGCGATGGACAAAGAGTTGGAGAGCAAACTCAGTGACACTGAAACTGGTTTCGTAAATGCGCCTAAGGGAAATCAGCTGTGCGTGTGTGTGTTCTTTAAGAAACCTGGGAAATCCGGACTCTAACTTGAAAGCTTTGTTTCCTTTACCAGATTCTGAAAAACATCCGTTCAGCCTATATTTGTGCTGTATATTCTATACATTGCATATAGTACTATACAGACAGGACAGGACAGGAGTTTCAGATGACTGATTTCACACGTCAGTCAATATAAACAATAAACCAACAAAACAAATAGAGTAATCTGGTGTTAAACTTATTTGGAAACTAATTTAAGATTCATTTTGGATTGTACAGCCGACTTTAAAGACATTTTGTCTCTTTTGAGCTTTTCCTGGTGTTTTGAAGCTGTTATACAAATGTTCAGGTAGCACACACCTGATGTGCACATGCACACTAACCCAGAGACATAATGATTATTATTATTGTGCACCCAGTAGCATATCTGTCTCACTCCTATTCCCAGCTCCATGATTCTGTCTTCCCTTCCAGAAGAGGAGATAATTACAGGGATTGCAGTGAGAGGCGTGAGACACACTTGATGACATACAAGAAACCTCCAACATAACTTTCTCTCTCTTTGTGTGTTTGTGTGTGTGTGTGTGTGTGTGTGTGTGTGTGTTAGATCGCAGTGTGCAGGTTTGCGAAGAGATGCGGTTTGTGTGTAATATGTGTATGTTGCTGAGGTGTAGAGTTACCCGACCGTTGTTAGATTGACAGGACAAAAGTCTCATCATCCACCCAACACTTTGTCCTGTGTGTCACACTGTCACTTTACCCCCCCACCCCCCACCCCCAAACCCTCCCTCTCACCTCTGTATATGTTCACCTTGTTCTCATGTCCGTAGAAACCATATTCTCCAATACAGACTTACTGACAGTTTATATGCTTTCCTCTTAGAGATAGAGGTTCAAAGTAGAAACTGAGATTAATGGTTACATTTGTAATCACAATCATCTTTCAGCTCCCATTTTCTGCACAGTCAGCATAGTAACAATCCTTAGGGATGTTTTTTTCTTTGAAAATAAGGAATTTCCCTACTCTATATTCTTATAATAACAACAGTGTGTTATAGTAAACAGGAAGAAGCCTTCTGTTTTGTCCTACAACAGTTTCATGACCACAACAGTATTTCAATAGAGGTGACTCTACAATATATATGAGATAGTCATCTACAATACAGCACAATATCTGCGTAACTGTGCATGAGATCTGTAAAAGTCTTCACATATGAAAGTTGTACAATTGTGTTGCAGAATTTCTTACTGTGTAGAAAATGCTGTCAGTGTAGCAACATTTTATAGACATTTATAGAAATTGAAGAAAGTAAAAATTAACCCAAACAGCAACATGTACACATGTGCCATTGATCAAAGGTTAAACAGCAGAAACTGGCAAAACGTCGAAGAACGTTTCAGAGATAAAATGTTTGTAGTAAAGAAAAAGTACAACTCTCCCAGTGAGCAACTCAAGTCTTTTCATTCTGTATTAACTGAATTTAATAAAACAAAAATGACTCCAAAAATCTTCATTGATAAAACAATGATGGTACGGTTTGTTCATAATATCACAGAAGACTATATCACAATGAAATACCATATAGTCATTATTGTCCAACCCACACTGGAAGAAATGAAAGTAGACCCCCAAAACAACATCCTAACACAGGAGAGGCTGGAACCAGGGAATGGTTGGCATCGTTGCTTGAAAAAGGGAAAAAAAGAGATTGATCAATTGTCAGAACAGTTGCCTCATCAATCAAATAGTTGTGTGCAGTCAGTTCAGGTCTAAAAACACTCACAATGAGTAAACATTAAAAGATCTTTTTTTCATATCTGACCTGCACAAACTGATTGATGAGTTTTAAACCAGACAGCAGTGAATGTATATTAATATTCTCCTTTTCATGTCATTCCCAGCACACCTCACTGTCTAGACCGAATTCAGATAAAAGTAACTAATGTCTGTTCCCTGTGCGGGGAGCGAATGAATCTGCAGGGCTCCCACACCAGCCTCCCTGTGCGGCTGATGACATCACGCGGTTGATCCTCTCTGATCTGCTCTCAGGCAGGAAACAGTGCTGGCGTTGTGTCCCGGCCTCTGATGTGTGATTAGTGGCTGAGTCATTAGTAGAGTAATGCTCAGGCTGTCATTAGTTGCGCCACAGCCCAACTGTAACGTGTAGGAGTTTTATCTTTATGACCGCAGAGCTGCAGTCATTATGTTCAGGGGGCGGGTAGTCGAGTCGGGGCGGGCAGGAGTAAGTGGGAACACTGGGAGGAACAGGGTTGGGTGGGCAGGGTTGGAGCAGGGTGGGTGGTTTGTGTGGGGTTACTGTGGGGGGTCTGTTGATAATCCAGGTACTGTGTACAGATGTACTTTTCTAATCCGCACTTTTACTTGTTTGTGTCTCTTTAGTTCATGGATCCTCCCTGTCTCTGGTCTCCAGCACGTCTTCCATTTACTCCACAGTAAGTACACAAAACGTTTAAAGAGTTAATTAGGGTTGGATATTCTGTGATTTCTTTTTGAATCCTGGTGTGTATGATACTTTCAGTACTGACACAGTATAGAGGTAACGTACTTTTTTGGTAGATTGTGTTTTGCTATTACGTAGTTTTTCCACTAGAGTGCTAACAGCTTTATTTCTCAACTGTAAAGTATCCAGTCGCAACCCTTTAATAACCAAATTATGGGATCAAAATGTTTGTTTCTCAGAGTGTCCTGGTGGCCCAGTGAGGCCACATACCATGTAACCAGAACTGGAAGTTCAACTCTTTTCTTTTCGATCCTATCACACCTTCGTTCTCTCCATGTTTCTTGTCTCCCTCTCCGCTGTAAACCGAGTAATAAAGGCAAAAATGGCAACAACAAAAAGAAAAGATAAAAATGTATAATTTTTTTGACTCAAATACTGGTATTGGCATCAGCCACGAAATACAGATATAAGAATGTCTTAAGCACCATCAGCATTCATTTCAAACATTTAACAATCAATATCAGCTGTATTAGCTGAGAGAGAAAAAAATGGCTCCATATAATTATTAATTAAACAGTGTTCTTTTATAAACCAGTTTGATTTTGCTATTTTGCTAGTATTGGAGTCGAATACGCTGCAACACATGTACCCCACTAATCTATCCAGATATTTGACTCAAACATCCTGTGAGAAAAAGGCCTGGCTGTAGAAAACTTTGGACAGCCCACATGTACACAGTAGCCAATCAGAGCCTGGCCTTTGCAGCTAGCTCCTCCTCCCTCTGTGGGCTGGTTCACTCACCTGGGCAGGTGTAGCAGAGAAACTCTCAGACATTAGATCCCTGCTCGGCACTGGCTGGTGCTTTGAGCCTGAGAGTCACAGGTTTGAAATCAGAAGGGGGAAAACAGAGTGGAGGCAAAATGATGGCGACTCTATCCCTGACGGGCACCGTCACTTCATGGCAACAAACGGTAGGGATGAGGAGGGCTGTAGAGTGCAGGGGTAGCTTTTTGCTCAGTTGGAGTTAAATACAGCTGTAAGTCACACATGTAATTACACAGAACATGTAAGAGCAGATCTTGTTTATGGCTATGTTTCTTTATCAGGGAAAGCTGACATGTCTGACTCATATATGAAAAACTAATCTAATGTTTTGGACACCAACACCACAAAACCAATTTTGCTGAACTTTGGTTTTACTCAGATTCCTTTTCTTCTGTTTATTTTCTTATTTATTGCTTGTCTTAAACCAATTAAGCATGTAAACACTTTGCTTTACTGTTGTGATGTTGATAACTCATGGGATTGTTTTTGTTGTGAGGTTCCGGTCCAGGATCAGAGTGAGATCTCTAGGTTTTGTCTGCATTTCCAAGACAAATAGTCCGCTCTGTTTGTGTATCTAGGATCAACTAGGCATGATGTGTGTGTGATTGACAGCTCTGTTTGGGTGTGTAGACCATGTGTGGACGGATGCCACTTTGTAAACCATTCACTCGTACCACAGAACACATGTGCTTAGCTTGACACTGCTTATGTGCACATTAGGCTGTTGAAACCTGTGTTCAGGTTTTTCACTGGATGGCATCAAAGTGAGAAATTTTAAAATGATGCACATTAAAGGCGTTCAACCTAACATTAACTTTTAGCTCCACATGAGCCAGTTTTGAGTCTGTAAATTTCAGCATCAGAGGGCCTCTCACTACAGACCAGCGCTCAAAACAGCTCAGGTTATAAAAAAACATCTCCGGATGCAGTTTCAGTGCAGCTTGTTTACATGTAAATGTGGGTGTTGCATGTTTCACTGTTTTGGTGAGCAGCAGCAGCAATGGCAGGGTGTGTTGTGTTCGTGCGAGCGTTTGTTTTGCCTGCTCTCACTCTCTATGTATTTTCCTACCTGTCTTTTCTTACTATTGTTCTGTGTGCAGCCTATGGAGACAATGGGACTCACACACACATAGATATCTCATTGTAATGCCTTCAGGAGGATATCTCTGCTTTCCAGACATATTACACCACAAAATCTCCTCCGCAGTTTATAAAGCGCGTCTCCATGGAGCTAATAAATCAAACAAGAGTCGGGGCATGTGCCGTCTGACCTCCGGCAGCTTGAACTGCTGTTCTTTTTTATCAAAGGATGTCAGAATTCAGTCAGTACGTCCTCTAATGATTTTCTCTTCTTCTGATGTTTGTTTTTACAGAATGAAGAGAAGTCTCAGTCGGAGGTAAGCGTCTGCTCGCCCACAGCACTTCTGTCCTGTGTTTTCTCAGCTCTTTAATTTTCTATGTGCAGTTGTTAGACTTGTTGGAACATGGGGGCGTTTTCACAGTTGTATCTAGTTACACATGTAACTGTATTGTGAGTGACCCTGTAACAGGCTCTTGTTCCTCTCTGAACACCTGTGTACACCTGTATGTGCTCTTTTATGCACCCACTGTGTTTCATCTCTTAACCTGAACATATCAGAGCTCCAATCTGGGAGCCTCCCTCATTTGTTGCTACAATTTTGGATGCGTGGTGTGCGTATGTATGTGCGTGTTTGGTTTGCATGCTTTTATGGATCAGATATGTATTCTTTTGTCTTGCTGCTTTTTGATGTCATGCTTTTTTACATCCTCAGATCCGCAAGCTGCGCAGGGAGCTGGACGCCTCCCAGGAAAAGGTTTCCGCCCTGACGACACAGCTGAGTGCCAATGTAAGTGAACAACAGTGAGCAGTGAAGTGATACAAACACACTCCTGCATACTTGGACATGTATACTGTCTCCATCAAGTGTTTATCTTACCACAAATTGAGTCAGTAACAGGCTCATTAAAACACACATTTTGCATTTATTATCAGCAAATAAATATATAATTTAAATGTAACCTTGAGGTATATATTGTATACCAAATAAATGAAAGGTTGCTGGTGGTTTTGGACATTACAAAAGCGGGCTTTAAAATATTTTTACTATATGCTCACTGTTTTTTAAAAACTAATTCATCAGGCACATCAACGTCAATTCCCAGAGATAGAAACTAAATTTGTCTGTACCTGAAATTGCAAGTTTAAGTGTAGAATTGAACAAAACTAGGAGGCACGACAGCAGCTTTATGAGGATGTACGTTGGCATAGCAAAGCTTTGAGCTAAACTTCAACATATCCATGTAATCAATATGCCATGACTAGCATGTTGTTTTGCTAAAAGATGGACTCAACGTTTTAAAAAGCTGTGAAACTCTGTCTCTCTCAAGCACGCAAACATTTCCCAAACGCACGCAAGAACATTTCGTGATATTCATCAAATACTGAAAAGATAGCTCCCACAGAGCACTTTACTCCAGGAAGGTGTAATTTTACATCTGGCAGAACCATCAGGAAATCTCTTAAAGCGTCTCCAGACACGATCCTTTCTGCCCCCCTACCTTCTGTATTGCACAAGTCTCGCCACGCTCTGCCTGTAATCTGCTGCCTGAGTCAATGCACACTGGTGGTTCAACCATGGATTAGAGATATGGAAGGAAGGCAAAGGTGTTAGATTACAGCAGAGAGTCAAGTCCCAGCACACTGCTGAGGGACTGTCCCAGATGTGGACTGAAGATTTACAGCTAATGACGCCTGGATACAAGAAGGCGTGGTGTGAGTGTTGAAAGAAAAACACAGACAGAAAACAGAGGAGTTGGTGGGGGGTCATTAGGTTGGATGAAGGAGGGGGTTCTGTTCAAATATTTGATTACACGCCGCAGACAGATGATGAATTATCTGAACGCACCTTGAAGCCCCCGAGGCAGAGAATCTAAGAACGTCTTCTGCTCAAAAAGTCACGACTTGAATCAGTCATCAGTCAACGCCTTATTAAGCTCTTACACACATTTCCTGCAGGCATCTGCATATCATTTATATTTGTCTAAAGCCTAGTAGTGATGGATGACCACGCTTACTTTTGTTTATCTGGTGTGTTGAAACCAGCAAAATCAGCAGTGTTAGTTTTCGAAGCGGTTCTTATTTGTTGTGTATATATATTAATTTCATTATTTTCTTTTGCTATTTGGAGCTTATCTTCTATGTCTACATGTACCTTTGAAATCTGCCTGTTTTACTTATTTGCACCGAGCCTTCACTTTGTTAGAAAGTCAAGTTATTTTATTTCAGCCAGAAATCTGTCAAATCAAATTAGAACATAAAAACCACCCAAGCTGTTGTGAGTAGAGGGTTTACCTGAAGATGAGTTCATGTTCATCATGAGAGTCTTTGGCATGAAAAGCCTGGTTCTAGCTCCAAGGACTGTTTTTGGCAAAGATTATGTAACAGTTTGGCTACAGAGTTGTATTTGTAGTGTGGGAACCTGTCCAGAACTGACCTACAGGGGATAATCATTTATCACAGGGTGTTCTTATTTTGGGTTTGGTTCTGTTTTCATTTTGGTATGAAGATTACATGACTGATGTCATGTTTGGGTTTTAGCCCCAAGGTTGAAGTGGTTGTGTCGACAGCTCTCACATTATCTCAGACCCTGTGCAGTAGGTTGTTGAGGTTAAGTTTCTCAGCTCAAGGTCTCTGCTGGTTATCACAGTTCAGTGGAGAGGTCTTCATTCCCTCATACTCATAAATCAACTCTCTCCACATTCATTTGGGCATTAGTAGTTGAGTTTGCTCTCTGCAGTTAGTACCTTGAGCTGTATCGTCAGGAAGTGAGCCTCCTGCTGACTCCTGTTCCATGGCGTCCAGCAGCCATAAACCTGCAGCCAGCAGCACAGGGTTCTGGCTCCCATTAAACTTCAACCCCGCCAGGAGTTGTACGCAGTGGGGGAAACCATGTGATCCAGGCTTGATTCCTCTCAGTATGGATACATCTTTAGAAGAGGTTTTTTAGAAAATGTTTTCATCTCAGTCTTTTAAAGCTGATGTCAGTGTTTGTGTGTGTGGTGGACAGATCTTTCTTGGACAGCTGATTAGGTTCTAGGATTGTATAATTTGCATTTAACCATTATTATTTATTTTGTTGTTTTATATTGAAAGTTGTGCCATGTGGAGCTTTAATTGTTGGATGCATTTGGTATTTTATGAGGAGGTCGAACCCAGAAGAAGCTGTAGGTTTGTGAGGTTGAGAATTAAGTTAAGTGTTGGAGGAAGTTTGAGCTCTCTTCCTGATTTACATTTTTCTTTTGTTGACTTTTGTAACAGTTGCACAACTTGTCTGTTTCTCCTGCAGGCTCACCTGGTGGCAGCATTTGAACAGAGTCTGGGCAACATGACCATTAGACTGAAGAGTCTAACCCTGACGGCAGAGCAGAAGGTAAAAAACAACTCCTCCTGTTTTATAACAGATTGTTGTAGACTAATCAAAGTCTTAATTTAAAGTCAGTGCAGTTGATTTACTGGTTTGAGCCTCTCGCCAATGTCTCTGTGTAGGACTCTGAGCTGAATGAACTGAGGAAGACCATCGAGTTGCTGAAGAAGCAGAATGCAGTTGCTCAGGCTGCCATCAATGGAGTCATCAACACCCCTGAACTCACACATAAAGGGGACAGAACAGGTACACACACACACACACTCACACAGCAAACATAACATTAAATGTATAAATAAAGTTGATATTTTTAATCAGAATTAATATAATTCTTGTTAAAATTAACACATACTGCACTTTTGTATAAAAATGTTTGAGAAAGGGCATTATAGGACACATCATACAAAGAGGATCCCACAATCTGTCTGAATTACAAAGCAACTTGAACATTTTATTGATAAACAGAAATTTTAATTTGACAGGGATCTTTCTTTATCAATAAATTGTTGTAGTTGTGAGCTTCAGATGGTGTGTGGGACACCTTTTGTTCTGTGTGATCTTCTTGTTAGGAGGGAAAAACCTCTGAAACAGTTGGTAAGCAGTCTTTTGCGGTTAACAGCACATTAAATAGGATAATGCACTCCACCTATTTAATAACAGGGAACTCATTCCAAAATCTGGAGCCTGTTTTTCTGTAGTCAAAGTAAAACCTCCATCGTGTCAAAAGTGGACAGCACGGACTGTTTGATATTTAATAGGAGACATATTTTAGACAACACTTTCATTTACACCTTGCCTGTCTCTCCTCAGCCGGCAGTAATGGCAGTCAACAGCAGCAGCAGCAGCAGATTCAGCAGCCAGACCTGCGCATCAGGAGGCAGCATTCCTCTGACAGCGTTAGCAGCATCACCAGCGCAACCAGCCACTCCAGTGTCGGCTCCAACATGGACGCAGATGCAAAAAACAAGAAGAAGAACAAGAAGAACTGGGTAAGATGCTGGGGAAATGTAAAATAATAACTCTAAAGACTAAATTCAACTGAACAAATATCCAGCCGGGACTCATGATGGTTTGCTGTTTGTCTTTGTCTCTTTGTGCATTTTCATGTGTGTGTTGGTGTCACATGTTTGGGTTTCTCCCCTTTAGGCATCTTTCACTGGTGAAAAGGTGAATACACTTGATTTTCATAGACTTAGTTCTGTTGAATACCAAGTAATGATTGATTTGGTGATTTGTGAGTCAAAAGACATTTAGGTTCAAACTGGGATAGATCTGGTTCTAGTTGTCGTCTTCTTGACCTGCAAATTACCAGGTCGATGCTTACTGGCTAGTGTCTAGGCCTAATGTCCACTCTTTAGCTTTTTTTAAATAGTGATCATAAATCAGAACATCTTACATACTGTCACTTACAACTTAAAAGACATGAACTTTTGCTTTTTGTTGTTGAAAGGCTTTTTTGTGCACCGGAGGACAACTCAGAGACAGTGACGTACGCAAGTGTTTTCCTCTCTGTCGTCCCATAGACTGAAACGATGTTGTGTTAGCCGCCTGTGGTTGTCAGTATCTGATCCTGATGTTGAATTTAAGGAAAAGCAGTGTGCTGCTTTGTGGTAGCTGTTAAAAGACATGAGCTCGTGTAGAGTTTCCTGCTTTAAGTCCCAGTGATAATAAACGACCCTCCTGTGTGTGTGGATGTGCTTCCAGCTGTCAAAGTTTCTATAGATGAAACCCCACAGGAGGCTTCTCCATGCAGGTGCTCATACAGCGTGTGTGATGTGGCGTGTATAGGGGCTATGTGTGTTGGAGAGTATATAATGGATCATGAAAGACCCCCCGTTTCACGGCTGGTTGTGATGTAGCATTAGCTTGCAGCTGCCTGGAGGTCAAATAAAATCATCCTTAGCCCTGTAGGGGCCTCTAGTTTAATCTCTGCCCCACCACAACATTAACACACCCAAACCCATATGAACATGTGCTGTTTTGTCTCTCTGTCTTCCTTTGCTTCGCTTCATGTGGCAGGTTCATGAGGTAAGAATGGTACGCTGCGTGGAATGAAAGAAACAAAGCTGCCTAACGCCTGCACTTTTTCTAGGTTACTAACCTCTCTCCTTTTCCTCCTGTCCTCTGCTGCCACTGTAGTGCCTGTCCTCTCCAACTCTGCCCCTCCCTGAAAACTGCTCTTATGACACTTGAGTCAGCTCTAGAAAGGAAAAATCCACCTGAAAATACTGTGACGCTCATAATAAAAGGGTATTATTGATACTAATACCATTTTGTGGTGGGTTTTGGTATCTGGCCAAAATATAATCGACATGACATCATTTTTGGTGCAGCTAGATATTTGAAGACAGAAAATACAAAACAATGTCTTGATGAACCTGAAAACCAAAAGTACCCACTTGACAGCAATTTTAAAAATCCTACTGAGTAGTTATAGCTTACCGATGTCTTCAGTAGAGTGTTGTCACAATAATTCTTCCTTCACCACAGAGGTTGTTTCTCAGGAGATTGTCGAAAGGCTTGTAGGGAATCACTAACTGAAGTAGAAGCAGATGATGTAGTCCAGGGAAAGTAAGCTCCTCAAAATAACTGAATGACCTTTTTAAAATAAAAGCTGAGTGTAAAGTATTCACAGTGGATTTCTCCTTCAAACACAAACTCTTGCTCAGATAATATGATGAAATCAATCAGATTCTGGCATGGGTCTGTCCTTAAAGTATACATGCAGTTTGAATATGGCTCATCATTTTTATCTTTATTTATTTATTTTTTTTATTAGATTTTTATCAAAAGATTATTTAAAAGTACGCCTTCAAAAACATTGCAGATTTAGAAAATGAAGAGAATGATTGGGAAAAGATGCCATTGATGTAATTATCAAGACACAAGCACAACTACAGTGATTGCAGTGCAAATTATATTTCAATATCTAATTTTCAGTGTGAAAAGACGCACACATATCTGAATTTATTCTGTCTCCCCAAACGACTCTCAACACTGTCAACTGCTCCCCGTATAATATCTCCTTTAATACACTAAGAAAGGTATTCACTTTTCTATTTTTAAAATAAAAAACAAGAACAATGAGCCATAAATAGATTATAAATCAGTATCTATATGCTCAACCTTTCTCTTAAAAACACATTTTAACAACAATTCTAACACATTACACACACACCAAGAGCTGAAATCAAGTCATAAGACAATATACCCATAATTCCCTTTCTCCCTGTGACTCACTTGCACTTTTTAACAGCTGTTTTCCTCCACTTTCCCCCGGCACACTCCTCCTCTTCCTCTTCCCTCTCAGTGTGTGTTTCTGAAAGTGTGTCCCTCGTCTGCTCACTGTCTCTCTTTGTCTTTCTCTGTTTCAGCTGCGAAGCTCCTTCAAGCAAGCATTCAGCAAGAAGAAATCTCCCAAGTCGGCCTCTTCTCACTCCGACATCGAGGAGATGACAGACTCCTCACTGCCGTCCTCCCCCAAACTGCCTCACAACGGCTCCACAGCCTCCGGCCACATGCTCAGGAACACACACTCCAACTCGCTGTACGTAGATAGTAGACAACAAAGAGTACACGTGGCAAACTATCAAACGCTTAATTCACAATGTTCAATGTCACTAATCTGTGTTGCCTTTGTGTGTGTGCATATACAGACTGTCTGAGTGTTTGGACAGCGAGGCGGAGACGGTGATGCAGCTGCGCAGCGAGCTCAGGGAGAAGGAGATGAAACTGACCGATATCCGTCTGGAAGCTCTCAGCTCCGCCCATCAGCTGGACCAGCTCCGGGAGGCCATGAACCGCATGCAGGTCTGCACGCACACACACGCACACAAAACCATATATTAGAGAACTTCACATTCGAGGACAAATCAGCACTGAATCACAGAGTGCAGACAGTCATTGCTACACAGCTTTCTGTGAGTTGAAACTGTCGGTCTGCACTTCTGGCCACAACCCAATCAGTGATGCTGGTTTTGACAGTGTGATAACCACCAGCTGTGACTGGTGCTGGCCAGATGTGCAGATGTTTTTGTTCTCTGTGATTCACTTTTCTAACTAAGCTCTGGTAGTAGTGTTAGTATTAGTTGCCGTACTAGCTTTCAAAACATTCCACTAATTGTGAACATATGACTTCTGGTCAGACTTTGCAGAAATTTGAAAGGAGCTATTACAGCACTCAACAAGCAGTTAGATGCAAACACATTAGTTGGCCTGAAGGGGGAGCTAAAATTTAAGTTCAGAATGAATTAGAATGAATCTTTCAGCTGTTCTTTGTTTGTTAACTTCATTTGTGTGTGTCTGCAGGTGGAAATCGAGAAACTGAAGGCGGAGAATGACCGTCTGAAGGTGGAGAATCAGGGCAGCAGGACAGGCTCCCAGGCCTCCATCTCGTCCTCTCCTCCCCCTCACACGCACACACACAACCAGGCCCCAGGAACCGGGCCGGGGCTCTCCCAGCACAGCCTCAACCTCACCACCAGCGAGTCCACCAGCCTGGGTAAGACAGAGCAGCCTGACACAGTTTCTGGAAGATTTTAATAAGATACTGAATAGTCAGACAGTATAAACTGATTGCTTTTTAAACTTAAATGTTCTTTCTATATGAGTTAGTTGTTTAATGCAAGGATTACAGTTCTTTCACTAGTACACATTTCTGTCTCAAGACTATATGAGATCAGTGTGGACAGAAAGGGAATAATTTCCTCCAACAGCTAACAGATGACAGTGTCAGACAGTGAATTTATATGCAGTGACTTGATTCTTATGGGAAACAATGGAAATACTTTGCTCTGCTTTCCCATCAGACATGCTGTTGGATGACACCGGCGGAGAGGGAGGGATGAGGAAGGAGGGGAGACATGTGAAGATGGTCGTCAGCCTGGACGAGGTCAGCAAGTGGGGAGAGGTGAGACCTGTTTGAAAAATACAACTCAGACTGAGACTTTATGTCGGCTAAGATTGTTATTGCACCGATAAGCTTTTCCCAACGCAGTCGTGTTTTTCCATTGCAGGAGGGCCGGCCTCGTCATTTTCTGATTGGTTGCATCGGCGTGAGTGGTAAAACCAAGTGGGACGTCCTGGACGGAGTGGTCCGACGCCTTTTCAAGGTATACAATAACTGCGATACAGAGTCCGATAAGAAGACAATGTTAGAAACACCTCTGCATTAATGTTGTTTTAAGACAGTTTGAAAGTCTTTGAAGGTAACTAAAAGTATAAAGGTTTCTGAAAATGTCTTAGTCTTGGCAGTCAGGTTTCCTACTAACAATATAACAAACAATATGCACACATTTTAATCTCACACTCAAATGTGCTTCTATTGAGCAAAAACCAACAACAAACAAAAAAGCTGCTATCCTTCTTAGAGACTTAAACATTACTTTAAATGCTGAGACTCTGTGTCTGACAGGAATACATCACCCATGTGGACCCGGTGAACCAGCTGGGCCTGAGCTCAGAAAGCGTGGAGGGATACAAAATCGGCGAAATCCACCGACCCAGCAGCCTCAGGGCTGCCCTCACACCTGAACTGCTGCCCTGCGGTTACCTGGTGGGAGACAGCAACACCATCAACATCCAGCTCAAAGGTACCAACGCCATCAAATGATTCTGTTCTTCACCATTGTTACAGTTTAAAACCAGTTTCAATCAAGTTTATAGAGTGTGTTAGTCTATTATTCAGTGGGCGTAAATATCCTGATGTGTGTGTTTGTCCAGGTGTGAGCAGTGAGAACGTGGACTCACTGGTCTTCGACACTCTGATCCCGAAGCCGATGCTGCAGCGCTACGTCTCCCTGCTGAAGGAGCACAGGCGCGTCATCTTGTCGGGCCCCAGCGGTACAGGAAAGACCTACCTAGCCAATCAGCTATCTCGGCACCTGCTGCTGCTGGAGGGCCGGCCTCTGACCCCGCACGCCGTTGTCACTTTTAACGTGGACCACAAGTCCAGCAAGGTACTAATCTACTCTGCACAAAGGGATGAATGTTAGTTAAATTTCCCTTCCATGGGTCATAAAACATACTCGCAGCCATCCAGACTCTTCTGTCTTCGGTCTTTTTCTGCTCTCTAGTATTGAAACTTGACATCAAAATAAACCCCCATAAATTGAAGTCTGATGAATCACAAATTCAGGTTTCATCCTTCAAACAATAGCCGTAAGAACTGTTAACAAAACTAACTCACTGTTTATTACATTAAAGGTTGTAAAATTCAGATACTTGGTAAGAATAATTTAAATATGTTAATACAAATAATTAACAAATGTAAGATGATAAAGTATGATAAATTAACCACCTGGTGACCTAATTCTACCATACAGTCCTAATGCCAAAATGCTATTTTTTAACACATCAGGACAAATAAGATTGTCATGGTAAAGATGTCTAGATTGAACTTGAGTCATTTAAATATTCTGGTATATGTAGGTCAGACTGGTTTTGTGTAGAAAACCCATAAAAACAAATCTTAATGGTTACTGTTCTCTCGCTCTCTGAAGGAGCTGCGTCAGTACCTGTCAGGTCTGGCCGAGCAGTGCAGCGGTGTCCCGGGGGCAGACAGCCCTCTGGTGGTCATTTTGGACAACTTGCACCACGTCAGCTCCCTGGGAGAGATCTTCAACGGCGTCTTCAACTGCAACTACCAGCACTGGTCAGTTCACAGAAACACACACATCTGCACAATCATACTAAACAACAAAATATATGTTTCAGTTGTCTTTCAGCCCTGTTAGAACAGTTTACAGGAGCTGTTTGACACAATGCAATGCAGAGTAAAATGCTCTTAACCTCTCTCCAGTGACTTATTGAGTGTGGTGTGACTTAATGGACTAATATTACCTGATGAGAAAGAATAATAATTCTGTAATTCCTTCAGCCCCTACATTATCGGCACCATGAGCCAAGCAACGTCATCTGCCCCCAACCTGCAGCTTCACCACAACTTCAGGTAAACTGTTGCTCATATACTCCATCCTCTCCTTGCAGCTTGATGTAAAAATATTACAAGCTCTTACAATACATTGAATCTCTTTGTTTAAAAACTTAGTATGACAAGTCCTGATGTACCTGTATGTTCCCTGATCAGGTGGGTGCTGTGCGCCAACCACATGGAGCCGGTGAAAGGCTTCCTTGGTCGCTACCTGAGGAGGAAGCTGATCGAGACGGAGATCGGCAGCCGGACACGCAACATGGAGCTGGTGAAGATCATCGACTGGATCCCGCGGGTTTGGCACCACCTCAACCGCTTCCTGGAGACGCACAGCTCTTCCGATGTCACCATCGGTGAGAGGACGATGAACAATTAAAGAAAGATCCTTTTAATAAAATGTCAATGTGTAGAAACAATCAGTGCCTTACCTCTCCACTCTGTGGCGTTTAGGACCTCGTCTCTTCTTGTCCTGTCCCATGGACGTGGAGGGATCCAGGGTTTGGTTCACTGACCTATGGAACTACTCCATCATCCCTTACATGCTGGAGGCCGTAAGGGAGGGGCTACAGGTAACACACATACATGAGCGAACAATATCAGACTAATTGGGCTCTGGTCAAAGATCACAGATAAATTTTTTGGTGGTGGTCCAGGTCTTGGATTTTGACATGAACAATAAAACATATTAATAAAGAGACATTTGACATTCTGACGGGATATTTGAGGGATCCAGCTGAATGCAGTACAAGTGTGTAATGAGGGTAATGATAGAATTGTTCAGATTTGCCCTCTCAGAGGACCAGGGTTATGTTCATCACAGTGAAATGGATTCAATTTGTACTCTCAATCTGCATGTAATTAGTATCTGATTTAATTAGGCAGCGGCTAATTACCAGAATGCAACCTCAGAGTGGGTGTGAAGGAGAGCTTGAAAGGCAGAGTTCAGTAGAGGAATAGACTTAGAAGAGGAACCACAGTGTATTGATGCTGAAATGTTTTCCGTTGTGTATTCGTTACCTTACAATCAGCCGTTTCTACAGTAGCCCAAAACGGACAAACCAAACAGAAAAGAATAGGAAGGCTGAGCTGTATTCAGATGGTTGCAAGTGTGTTTGAGTGTTGCATTCTGTGTCTCTCTGTAGCTGTACGGCCGCAGAGCTGCGTGGGAGGACCCAGCTGCCTGGGTGATTGACACTTACCCATGGTCTGCCACGCCCACTCCTGCTGAATGGCCCCCGCTGCTGCAGCTCCGCCCAGAGGATGTTGGGTTTGATGGCTACTCTGCCCCGAGAGAAGGAGTCAGGAAAGAGCCGCCACAGAGCGACAGTGACGCAGACCCACTGGTGAGCAAAAACACACACAAAGAACAGGATCTGTATCTGTTACTGAGCATTTAAACAATTATATAGTATCTCTTACAACGTTAAAATTAAGTCTGTTTTTGAATGAAATGATGTTTCTGCCAACAGATGAACATGCTGATGCGTCTGAAGGAGGCGGCGACGTCATCGAGTCCGCAGAGCTATGACAGCGACTCCAACAGCAACAGCCACCAGGATGACATCCTGGACTCGTCTCTGGAGTCGACCTTGTGATGTCGCCAAAAGGCAACACGGGGATCTGTTTTCAGGAGGAACTTTTTATAAGAACTGTTCTCACTGTGAGAACTTCTTGCTGTGAGGATAATGCCACAAAATCCAGCCACCTTAATTTGGGTGCAGGTAACCCAAATATTTAAAAAGAAAAAAGGTTCCAATTGCATTTCAGAAAACGGGCAACAAGTTTCTACTGCACTGCGCTGTTTTTTTTTTGTTTTGTTTGTTTTTTTTCACCGCTGTGGCCCGTGGCTCCTCTATCAGGAGCCTGACATGTACTTCAGACAGACAGAATAAAAGCACACAGCCTGTCACTGATGCTGAGGCGTCATCATTACCATCATCACCAGCCATCAGTGTACCAGCCAGGAGTCCTCCACAGCTCCAGCTCATCAGGCTGCAGTGCACCTGAGCTGCCTGCAGATGGTGCTACAGGCCCTTGTCTCTGGAGCATCAGTGAGCCTGAACTACCAGCTGCTGAGAACACAGATGCGTCTGCTGCTGGTTGGATGGATGCACAGCCAGCCGCTTTCTGCTCTTCCTCCTCCTCCTCGTCTACGGCTGGAGTTGCATGTGTGATTGCTGGAGGATAAATCAAGCCAAAGTGAATGTTAAATCCTACAGGATGCCCACTCACACTTCCAAAAACTCCTCAGAGATTGTTAAATGTACCCTCAAATACTGTTTTAAATATATTCAAAACATATCAAAGCCAAATTTCTGAGTTGAAAAGAAATAGTGAAAGAATAGTCAATGAAGCAGATGTGTGTCCACAAAAAGTAATTAAGGGAGCACTAATAAAAAAGCAGTTCATAACATCTACATTTCAATGTTTTAGAGGTAAATGTAAAAAATTAACTTTATTTAAAACCTTCAGTGGACAAAAAGGATGAGAATTGTGAGTGTTTATATATGCAAATCCATGATATACACTACTGTTCAAAAGTTTGGAATCATCTGTAATGGCTCTTTTAAAATAGATAACAGTAAAATTCAGACACCAAATCTATTGTTTACATTCGAATACTCTTGGCCGAAAAAAAGAAGAAAAATATAATGTTCAAAAATTCAACTTAATTGACCCACATGGCCTTGCATGACAGGGAAGAATACCCTTTGATTTTAAATTAGTTTTCTCGTCCAGGAAAGCGTAAGTGACCCTAGATCATTAACAAGCAACAATGGTGCTTGCAGTTGGATAAAGGAGGAGGTTTAGCGCGCTTCAGCCGACTCACAAGGAATGAGGCCTGTTCGCTCTCAGAGTAGGGCAATGTTGTATCAGGACAAATATTGTCTAAGACTGATAAAGATGCACCTGCCGTTGAAACATTGTTTAATAAAGTATGTTGCAATAGGTTCTTGCAACTGGGCTCTAAATATTAATTTTTTTTAATTAATATTATTAATTGATATAGAACCCATTTTTCTCTGGGCCTTCTGTAGTCTACTCAATAGATCCATTCAATGCGTTAAAACTGTGATTACTCAGTTAGTATGTTCAGCTGATATTAAATATAAGTTTTAAGCACAAGCAACACCTGTTAATTCCAGCTTGTTTTAGCCATTATTGAGTACATGACACTGAAATTGGACTGGACCCTGGTACTATTTACATCTGCACAGATTTTGATGCTAAGCTTTCAATTTCTCTTACCAGTGACTTCTTATTGAACTGTTGCCAAGAGGCATCTTTGTCTCTTTCTGCCCTTTCAGTTCAACCAGCATTCTTTCTCCATGTACAAAACATTACTTTTTTTGGTAACTTTTAATATAAAATAACATCTATTTGTAAAGAGGACATTCTACAACTGCAAAGCATAAAAGACAATTCAAAAACATACAGTACACTCCTCTGAGCCGTCTGACTGTACCAAATCAAGCTTTTGCAGCAGGTGATTTAAAACTTTTAGCAGTAGTGTAAAGATGAGAACAAGGAAGTTGGCAAACATTGTAGCAACATTGCTACAGTGCCAGAAGAATGTGTGTGGAAACGAAGGAGACAAGCTTGGTCAATTTAACCAAAAATTCTCACCACAATCCTTGCTCAAACTTTGTTTAGGAGTTGACACCTCATATGCCACTTCATCAACATCCTCAGTGGTCACATCCTCCCACATAGCTGAGCTGTTGTTCTAGCAGAGGGGGGTTCCTTTGAAATGGAGCAGAATAAAGTGATAAATGCATAAGTGTTATTGGCCAAACACACAAATGGAAACACAAACACCTGTCAGATCTCCTGAAAATAAAAATCTTTTCTTATCCAGCTCACATTTGTAGCCAATTTTACAAAGCAAGGCAAAATCTAATATACAAAATCCCTTTCAGGAGGAACGGGCACTAACTGGGAAATTAACATTCACCATGGCTAGATTTATGCTTTTAACTTTTACCGTGTTTGAGATAATGTCCTTTTCTGTCTGTGTAATGCCTCTACCAAGTTCTAAGTTCTGTCTTTGACCGCTTAATCATCCTTTGAAAGCTCCATGCACATTGGCCCAAACAGGCTGTTGTAGCACAAATCTCTTTTGGTGCTGGACCGAATTCTAACAAACAATGCCTTACTCTTTTCTAACAGACTATGTGCATTAGCTGATTCTTTATTTGTCTAAATGGCTGTAAACTTAACAGGGCTCCAAAGTCGACTCTCTCCTCGAAGAGCGGCGTCGACCTCTCATCATATCAAACACCAATTGCCGTGGAATTGAGATGTGAATGAGAAGCAGTACTCTGGGTTTCAAATTAAGTTGTATGCATGTATGACCCAGTGCTGTGAAGCTGGTGTAAATATTTGGACCACTGGCAAGAAAGAAAATAAATATATAGATGTGTTTTGGTGCTCGAAATCAGAAGTTTTTGCAGGTTGATTGGGTGAGGGAAGTTTAGGAAGATGTGTTGATTTTATACCTCATCCTCATCCTTTAACTGTGCTTTCGCCATGCTCATAGTCTGTTTTGATTATGTGATTTGTGACGAACAGAACTGTCATGACAAACATGAACTAATTAAGTGAAAACTAGTGTATATGCTGCTTTGTTGATAGTGTTATAATTAATGAGGTTAAAAGGTATAAAGGTACTTGTGGTTGAATGATAATGTAAAACAGTTTGACATCATTTCTGTGGCTTAAAAAAAAATAAAGAATATTGTACTTTTTCTTTGTTTTTAAACCTGCCTTCTGGGAAGGGCAGGCTGACACTTAAAGTCGGGGTCATGCATCGCTTTTAGTGTTTTTGTCACCAATCCTATGCAACATTCATTCTGATCTCCAAATGGAAGCCAAAAGCTGAATGTGCGTTTGTCCCCCCCCCCACCCATTCCCCGTGAGCGGTTTTCAGCACTGCCGAGACGTACAGCATGGAACCCGATTTGTGAAGACTTTTAGGATTTGTTGCCCATGGTCTTTGTCCATATGTGTGTATGTGTATTTTATAGAGGCTTTCCCGCTACGGTCCTTGTAAGCACAAAGAGACTGATTCTCTGTCTTGTGTAAAGCCGGCTCTGAGAGGTGTGGATGTTGTTGAAGCATTTGACCAGTCTGTCAGTTTATTACTCACAAACTCAATGAATGTTTAGCCTTCTTTGCTATGTACATTTTTTATATGTAACATAACTTTGTAAATAGTTGATTATCTTGCAGCATTTTGATGACTTTTTCTAGCTGATTTGTAACAGTACTTGAAAAGGAGTATTTTGTGTACAGTCTCTTTACATCAGAGCAGATTGGTGCTGTTTGTCATCACTGGTCTGTCCAGGGCTCGGAGAATGAAATCTATCACTGTACTAGTCTTAAGTTATTGTGATTCAATAAAAATTAATGATTATTTATGATTGAATTTTGTCAAATGGTTCTTTTTTAAACACACACACAGTTGACTTGGAATTGTTTACAATTTTATTTGGTATTTGTACAAAAAGTGTGACATAAACATATATACAGCACATAATACAACATACTTATTAAACAAATTCATATAAATTATTAACGAAATAGCTACATTTTTCAATAAACAACTCTATTCAAGGTAAAAGTAACTCAATATTCTTGGCATAAAATTTCCATACAAAATTGTACAAAATACTGTACAATTGAACAAAGCTGTGCAAAACAGCAAATTGTGTCTCAGAAGCAGATCCTGTACAGTGCGCATGCGCTGATGAAGCAACAAACGAGTGAAACTTGAACATCGACGGTTATGGGGTCTTGATTCAGGGCGGCAGCTTCTTACAAATCCGGTTACAGTCTCATATGGAAACAAAACACGGGTTATATCTCTATATTTGCTTTTTTTTTTAAATAAATTAAGATACTGTTATTTCTTCTTCGTCTGACTCTGAGAAGTCCGAGTGCTTACTGGAAAGAGATGGAGAGGAGATGCTGGACCCAGCCGCCCTCATTCTCTCTCTCCCGAACTCTTCCTCATCCTCTTCCTCATCAGCTGAAGACTTCTTGCCCACGTCGCTGAGGTCCGGGTGCGGGTTGGCTTTGGTGGGCAGCGTCTGTTCGCGGCAGCCACCGGACGACAGCAGCTCTCGTTCCTTAGAGTTCCTCCACTTCATCCGCCGGTTCTGGAACCAGATTTTCACCTGTAGACGAGGAGAGAATGGTGAGTGGAAAAGTTCTGCGTCAGGTGCACTGAAATGCGTCTTTACGCGCAAATTACGCACAACGTGTCGAACATTTTAAGCACCTGTGAGCACTTAAGAAGTTTTACCTGTGAGTCTTTCAGGCCCAGTTTAGAGGCCAGCTTCTTCCTGTCGGGCTTGCTGATGTATTTCTGTTTCTGGAACATCTTTTCCAAGGCCTTGCGTTGTACATCGGAGAACACCGCCCTCCTCAGCATCCCTCTCCGGGGTTTCCCTCTGGCGGCCAGTGGCCACGAAAAGGTCCCGGGGATAGGAACAACGGATGAAGATGCTATAATACAAACACAGAAGAGAAATTGAAACCTGTTAGTTTTGTTTTTCTTTGGCACATCTCTGAAAAAAAAATCTGTTTGCAGGGAAGAAATTGTCCTTGAAAGGACCCTGGAGCCACGACAGATGGGACATCTTTGTTATAATCTAAACTTAAAACCAGTCAGACTTCAGAGAGGCTCTATATGAATGTAATGATTTCTCTTTACTTTTCAACCGGTTAGTATTGGAAGTTTCCCCCCTTGGAACTCTGCAATACGTCTCCGTTTTGAGTGAAATGGCACGAGGTGACTAATTAGCACATTGGCCGGTCCCCAACCGCATTGGTATGGTAAAGAGGTAGCATATCCTTTAAGGAACCCTGTGAGGGCGGATAGAGGAGTTAATAAACCGTGAACGGTAATTGTGTAGTAATGAACTAACGCAGAAAAGACTCTGGACAGGCGGCGAAGGCCATATATTATCGCAACAAAAGGAGATTTACACTTTCAAACTAAACACAACTGCATACCAGAATACTGATGCCCGGTGGGGGGAGTGAAGAGTGGAGGGGAATTTTTTTTTTTTTCTTCGTGCCTTCAAATCATTTTCATTAAATGAACACGAAAAGCTATTCAGGACGCTGGAGTTGTTTTGTTGAGGCATTCAGCTGAGCCCATGAAAAGACTCCATCTCCATTATGATTTGGCTGAATGAAAGCACGGACTAGCGACTTTATAGACTTTTCTAAGAGATTATTCTTTATCTCAACTCGTTGATTGGCCCGCTTGGAGAATAGAGGAACGTTTAGGGCACAGAGAGGAGTGAGGATTGGAGGTCAGTGGTAACCTATCCTATGGGCCGTGCAGCATGCAGAGGAAAACCTTCCACAGCTGGGGCGTTCTGGGTGCAGTTGGTATTTAAAAAACCGCGTTACATTAAAATCCCGCCGCTCTCCCGACTCTTCTCCTCTCTGCGCACTGGACTTCCTGACTGTAGCTGCCCTGTGGCCGCAGCAGAATCAAGAACAACGACGCGCTATGTGGTCTTGTGAGAATATTGAAAACTCTCAATAGCGCCTAATAGGGAAATTAGTGCATGACTGGTTCACGCCTTTGCCCCCCCCCCCCCGGGAAAAAAC